ATCATAAAGACATTTGAGCGAACTTTATTTGAAAAAATTAATAACTTACTAATGTTTAGCCTATTTAACCTGTGTAGCATAGTTAGCTTAGTATTAAGCATATAGGCTAACTGCTAAAGTTAAACACTGTAAACTGGTTTACAGTGTTTATTTTTTATTTATTTATTTTGGTTTGGCTTGAAAAAAACAAGTTATAATGATGTACTCAGGCAGGATAGTTGTTTTCTCATATGTAAGTTGTTTATGCTAAATTAAGCTAAGGTAACTGGCCACTCAAAGTAGCATTGTACATTGAATATGTATTGTGTATACACCTACAGACGCACCACAGTCATTTCTAACCAGTGTTGTCAACACCTCAGTAAGGAAAATCGCTATTGGTCATCCTAAAAATGCTAGAACTGGCTAAATCATCGCCTAATTTGCATAATTGGTCATGCTTATGTAATTGTAACCTACATGTAGGAGAGAGAAATAAAGTGAGTAAAAAACACCCTAAATGCATTTAGAATATATTTAGAACTACAAATTAAATTCTTTTAGCAATTTTTTTTAATATCATAATAAAAAAATAAAAATAACAAAATAAAAAAAAAGTAATTAAATACCCTCCTCCTTTGGTACCGGCAAAAGTGACCCAAAACAGGCACTCTAGCAGAGTTACACACACATAGACACACAAAAAAGTGTGTGTGATTTTAAGTAGTTTTAAACCTTGTGATCCACAAAAAGTAAGAGTAAAAGAAGAACTGACGTCATTACAGTCAGGGCGGGAGCAGCGGCTTCGCTCATTCATTTGCAGTGTGGACGCGTAGGGGTGAACATCTCCTGCTCTGACAGCAGCTGGGGGCGACTGCTGTGTGAGGATGATCTGCCGCCTGTGAGCACTTTGGCACGGGCGAGGTACCCACGGTAGCACCGCTGCTTGTTGAGAGTAAGAGCCATGCGTCCTTTCATGTCAAAAAGTGGTCATAAGTCATCCTAATAACACCAGTAAAAGTTGCCATATTTGACTAGTTGCTTTTTAGAAATAAAGTTGCTAAGGGGGTCTGAAAACTCGCTAAATATTGCGACAAAGTCGCTAAGTTGGCAACACTGTTTCTAACTGCAAGAACATTTTTAACAAAGCAGCGTTTGTACTTAATTGAAACTCTAGGTTCCAAAGTCAATTATTTTTTTAAAGTAGTCATAATTTTCCTGTTTGCAGAAGGGACCTCTCCTGCTTGCACATTGCGTAGCTTTTATTCATTTGGTAAATGGCAGTCAGGCCATTCAGGACTTGGTATGGAGTGTAGGAATTTGAGGGAGAGGATGTTGAGGTAGAGCTGGTATTCTCACAGCCTCTGTGTGAGCGTTGCTTTGTTCCAAAGTGGTGTGAAGAAGAGGAGATGGACAGAGAAAGGGGTGGGGAGGGGGGGACGGTAAGGAGGGTGGCACTTTCTGGTGAAGGTCACAGGGTTAAGTCGATGGGGATCCTTGGAGACGGGGCCCTGCAGAAAAGATGGTAATGCTCCAAGCCATGATTCATCGCAAAGGCATCCATCTGCCTGTGCTTGTGCGCGTGTGTGTATGTGTGTGTTTGCAAATGACGTCATCCCATCAGTCCCCAGGCTGTCATGGGCTGACAGGCATGGGGCTGTGAAGGAGCAGTGTTTTCATTTCAACGGGCAGAATGATGGAGTGCGGAGGGGGCGGAGCTGCTCTCTGAATGGCAGGTGCCGCACTGTTCGCTGTACTCAGGGGAAGTGGATTTCAGGTTGTTGACTGCGTGCATACTTGTTTGGCAGCAGCACTAGTGACATGACTCGAAAGTTGAGCTCCCGCGGAGCACATTAGCTACTTTCAATATTTTCACTTTTTCGTCTGCTTCGTGTTCGGTATCTGGAGCTCAAGTTTCATTTTAATCACAGTTTACTTTATATAGCCGTCCCCTGCTGCCGGCCTCAGACTGCACGGCAGTCTGAGGCAGGTTAATTGAAGGGAGCTGCTGTGGGAGACAGGGAGATGAGCTGTAACTATCAATACGGGCCAGAGCACACTTACTGGTATTTTACTGTCTGCAGGAGCTTAATATAACTTCATGATGCTAGGATGCTAAGATTTTCATTGGGAGTGACCAGGATGGATGAATTTATGACTATATCAGAGGGACAGCTCAGGCTGAGAAGTTTGGAGACAAAGTTAGAGTTATGGTTGAGATGGTTTGAACATATGCAGAGGAGGGATAGAGACTATATTGGACAAAGGATGTTGAGGATGGAGCTGCCACAGGAGGAAAATATGAAGACCTCAGAAAAGATTCATGGATGTAGTGAAGGTGGAGATGCAGAGGGTGGGTGTGAAAGAGGAAGATGCCAGGGATAGGGTGATCCACTCTGACGGAAAACTGTTTTTTACACTTCGTTTAGTTTATCAATTCCAAACTGTATTGTTTGCATTTAATCCTCCTTCATCATCTCTGTTTCTAGTTGCAGCAACATCTTTGTGGAGCATCTGTATTCTCCATTATTCATTCTACAACCTATAGTGGCTTTTATACATATATATTTGTTGGGAGATCTTTTGATGATCATATGGAGACCTGGTGTGGCTGTCTAGTTGTTAGTCCTCTTTTTTAATAGTTGATGTTGGTCAGGTTGGGGTTCCACTGCTAGCATAATGTTTATCAAAGCATCAGATTTATTACTTGTAGTAACAGATCTGAGTTTGATGTTCCAAGTATGGCATCAACATGTCAAACATTTTTTCTCTTCAGCTGGCAACAGAGTAGCGAGAGCAGGAACACCACAGTTTCCTCTTAACGTGTGCGTGTTGTCTTTCTGCATCCATCCCTCGAGGCGTGTTTCCCATTTGATTCAGCTCCTCACCCCGACCGTCAAACTGAAACGATCTACCACCATCCTCACAATGGCCCAGGGGTTAAAGCACTATTACCTTAAGCTGTATTAGAAGAACGACAGTAAAAGTCAGCCTCGCACACAAAAGCAGTCCCCATTTCCCGACTCTTTATGCCTCCAGATGTCTACAGTGGAATTAAATTGTGCAAACTTAGCATGACATTTAAAGCACAGTGTGTAACATCAACTCGACACAGTTGTTTATAAAGCTGCTGTGGTGAATGTGTTCGTCGCATTTAAGTCTGGTATGATCTCTAACAATGCTTGGGATCCTGTAGCTAACTTTGTCTGCGGTTGCAGCGCTGCGCAGGTAGCGTAGAGCATATTAGCCGTGTGCTGCCGAGGCTAATGAGCAACATTCACGTCCGGCACAGTAAACAAATACTCATTGATGGGTGTGAATCTGTACAACAAGAAACATCTTTACTTTGATGTATGTCGCTAACAAAGACAGTATTGACTAGCAGGGGTTTAAGCTGCATCCAAAAGAATCAAGAATGACATTTAAAATAATTAAGAACTGTTTGCCTGCAGTGTCTTGGCAGCAGAAACTGTTCTGCCACAGTAATAAAAAAACAATCACACAGTTGTGAATTGTCTATGAATATAAGCTGAGAATAAAAGCAAGAAAAGAAATCCCAAGATAACGTGCAGATGTTTAAGCGGCTCGTTAGGCCGCGGATTGCGCTGTTCAGTGTGGCGTTTTCACTCATTAGCAAGAATTTATGCAGAGGCTAATCATCCAAAATCATGAACTTCCATCCCTTAAAGCATAGTTGATAAACTCCATGATCTGTGAGATAAGAGATCTATTTATATACTCTACATTTTGTCCGCAGAATGGTTTTGGCAGTTCTCTTAAGTTCTGATTAAATGTCCTTAGAATGTTTTATTTCCTCTTAAATTATTTCTGAGCTACACGCTTTGCAGTGAGGATCTGGAAAAAAATAAAATAAAGATCATTAAGTCAAAACTTTATTCTCCCAGCAGAGCGTTTTACAGAGTCTTAGGGCTATACAGTTTTAGGTCTCTGCCACTGAGTTTTAATTTAAGCAAAATGAAGATCCAGAAAAGAAAAGAAATGGCGTCACCTGAGGACAAATTTACACATAAAGAAGTTTTAGTTAAGAGGAGCTTCACAATGAATCAAAGTTTTTACCTTTTTAACTCTTGGAGTTTGTTCGAGTTCTCCATCTGGCGAATGAAATTGTGACCCAGTTTAATGTTGACTCTTGTTTGGCCTCAGTTGGCAGGCTTCGCTGAATGTTGGGTCACTGGCCAGTTTTCCTGGCAATCCCCCAACATGTAGATAATTATCAATTCTGCGTGACATTAATCCTTTAGGGAGGGAAGGAAATAAAGAGAATAAGAAAGAGATGAATTGTTGTTATATAATGGCAGACTTTTTTACATTTAGTTAACCTCCTCCTTGGGCAGGGAGATCAGAGAAGAGGAGGAGATGGGGAGGAGGATGAGTAAAATGAGGCCAGTGACACATAACGGGAGGTCCTCTGGCACCTGCTCATAAACCGTACAGTTAATGCCAAGAAAGGGACATCTCTCAACCCCTCTAAACAAGAGCCAGAGCAGCTCCGGTGGCCAAGGCAGACTGTGTGTATGCTCATGCATTAGTGTGTTTGCAGTGCAGTCGCGCAGCGCTGCTGTACTGCATCCATAATTAAGCCCAAGACATACCCATCAACAGGAATATAATTGGGCAGTGGGAGGGTGGAGGTGGTGGAGTGGAGGTGAGTGCTGCAAACTTTCAGAGAGAGAAGAAAGGATAAGAAGGAGGGAGAGAGAGAGAGAGAGAAAGCCATTTACATGCTAATGCTGTCCTCAGCCCTTCAAATGCCTCGTTGCGTGCTTTGCCCGCTACCCTCGAATAAGCTCCGGGCTGCCAAGCCAGTCGCCATGTTTACACAATAAACAAACAGCAATGAGGTTAAAGTCTTTTCATGCATCTTTTTGAGCGTGCCTACAGTATTAGCAACAGTGTGCTGTTGCGTAACTGTTGTAAGCGTCTGAAGGACTCAGCTGACTGATTTTCGGCCTCTTTTGTCATCACCGGACTTTTTTTTTCTTCTTGTTTTTGTTTCCTAGGCGACAGAATGGGCACCGGACGAGGAGACCAGGGGGTCCTGCCAGAGCAAAGGCAAAACAGAGGTAACCTCCATCACGCCCCCAATTACAACACTTCATGTCAGCACTGCCTGGCTTACAGAGAGGCCATTTTGATATCTTCTGGCTGTCGTGGCGAGGTCCTTGTGGGCCTCATGGGAGGGCTCTGTGCAGAGCAGCTATTTCAGACCCTTCAATCAAGTGTTGTTTTTCTTGCAGTGAAGAGAGAGGGCAAAAGGGAAGGGAAAGAAAATGTGCACAAGAGAGTCTTGGGTGAGACTCTCAAAAGGACTTCCTCTCAAACATATCTGATAACAATTGGTTCGATCAGTATTCCTGCTTCAATGATTTTTGTAAGAACTAATTGCACCACAGTTTTGTTTTGGGGTTTTTTTTCCTCTCACAGTGTCTATACAGTGAAGACTGATACCAAATATACAACAGGCTATCATTTTTCTTCGAAACCTGCATCACCGCAATTACCTCAGTCCTTAGCTGCAAAGACCAATAAATCCATTCTCAGCCTTTGTTAAAGCAGATTTGATTCTTTTTATTAAAACACATTCTTGCCTTATTGTAGAGCCTATGTCAGTGTCGCAGACAGGCTTCCATTCAGTTACAAACGAGTATTCATATTTCTGAACAATAGACTCACAAGAGCAAAAGCTGCACACTGAATTGCTTTGCTTTGATTGCATGCCAGGCCGGTACCCAAAGACTTGGTCCATTGTTCTTTTCAGCAACACGTCCAAGAGTATTTAGCTAACCACCTCAGCTTTTGCTCTACTTCAACTTTTCCAAAGTGTTCTCCCCCTTCCTCCTTCTCTGCAGACCGAATGTCAGAACTACGTCAGAGTCCTGCTGGTGAACAAGACGGAGGTCATAACGTGCGGAACCAATGCTTTCCAGCCGCGTTGTATCGCCAGAGAGGTAGTTATGTGTGTGTGTCCGGCTGTGCGGGTTTTGTCGAAACGCAATGAAAAGGCTGCAGATTTAACGCACCGCCCGTCTCGCTCCGTCTCTGTGCCCTGCATTCAGGTGGGCAACTTGAGTAGCGTGCTGGAGAGCGTGAACGGCGTGGCCCGCTGCCCGTACGACCCTCGTCACAACTCCACGGCGGTGGTGACAGAGAGCGGAGAGCTGTATGCCGCCACTGTTATCGATTTCTCCGGCCGTGACCCCGTCATATACCGGAGCTTGGGCGGCATGCCACCACTCCGGACTGCCCAGTACAACTCCAAATGGCTGAATGGTACAGAATCACTGCACGATCACACCGACGTCCTATTTGAGTGTCATTTATTTAAGTGTGTCTTTTTTTAACTGTGCTTCAGATAATGAGTATTTTCATCACCAATTAAAATTCTAGTTAATTACTTTGCTACTCAGTATTTTGTGAAATATGGCCACCAGAAATTCCCAAAAGGAGGAGGCGTTATTCAATTCTGTGACATAAATGTTGAATGAAAAAGCAGAGACGTGCAGAAAATGCTTATGCTGCAGAGCTGCGAGCTTGTGTTACTGGCGCTCTTGGGTTCATTTTAGAGCTTTTAAATCATCCAATTTCAGGGGTGTGAGTTACAGGTTTGCTTGTGTTCGACTGAGTAAATGTTCCATTATATTTTTCTGTCAGAGTCCAGAAATCTAATCAAATAAAACTAGTAATCTGATCAGTAATCTGACCTGTTGAACCTGAGATAATCCACAGGGTTATACTGTGTCAAATAGAAAATACCTGCTGCTGTTTCTTTAAACATTTCTCAGGTCCTGTCTTGAGCGGCAGATGGGCTAAGTCGGCACTTTTGCTTCCAACACAATTCCCTCCTATGTTAGAGCCAAGATAGATCAATCCGGCATGCTTTTTTTTCAAAGGTCTACAAAGACGACTGTGATTGAAGTACTGTGTAGAACACAGAGTTACAGGTTAGGCATAGGAATTGGTGGGATTTACAGAATGGCGGGGAACATGAAATACTGTCGGTCCGTCTGGTGCTGGTGTCAGTAATCTCCCAGCTGCTGACACTGTGCCTTTTTTCCCTCTACTGTAAACATTAAAACACAATCTGACTCAAGCAGAAATGTAGCAGGACCGTCCACTGAAAAGCGCTGTCATCGAGTTTCTTTGATATGCAGCAGCACTGAGATAACTGGATGTGTTATATAAAGAACATGTGCGATTCTGGAAGTAAAGGTCAGATTCATTTTCAGTCTCACAGACAATGTCAGATGACTAACAGTTCTTTCAAAGCCTGGATGTATATTAAACTCTCTCCTGGTTTAATTATCTGTATAAAATACGAGCAGCCGTGTCAGAAAACGTCTTTCTTTATGTAATGAGGGCAGTGACTAATGACTATTTTCATTACTGCTTGATTCCGCCCTCTTATTTTCTCAGTTTTTCCACTGAACATTTGGCCTATTAAATGTCAGATAGATCACCAAAGTCCCAAACGGTGAATCTGTTTCGTGCAGTCGGAATAGCTTGTTTTGTCTGCTGGCTTTCGTGAAAGAGACGTGAAAGAGAGAAACGCAGCCAATCCATCATTTAGAGCTGATGGCGACTGATTGTCTTTCACTGTTAAAAAAATTTATAGTGTAAACTGTATTTCTTGCTGTAAGAATAGGAAAATGCTGTGCAACTAAAAGGTGGGTGAGTCTGATGGTGTGAGTGTGTGGTAGTGATAGCAGACAGATGAGAGAGTTGCAGGTCCGGGATGAGGATGAGAGGGAAGCGGGAAAGATTGAGGACTGAGGAGTCAGTGAGCGGTGTAATTATTCCTCACAGCAGGGAGAGGGTGAAATTACAACACACAGCATGCTTCGCCCCATCCCGGGGACTCCGCCTGTGTGTGCATGCAAGTGTGGGCTTGAACATGCATGTATGTATTTAGACTGTGTGCAAGCTCCACATGCTTCCACGTGTGCTTTATTGGCACAGGAAGAAAGCCTGTTGACGGGAAGTGAGCATAAAAAAAAAAAAAGATCGAGTGCACATCAGCATAATCACAGCTGGCTGCACGCACAGTGAAGCACACATGTCGCCCTCCACTCCGCCGGTCGAAGCCTGCTTTGCTTCATGGCTGATGCTATGAGTGTTATGGAGTTGTGTTCCCCGGTGAATTTGGGGTGTGAATGAAAATCTCATTTCCAGCTCTGAGCCTCTCTAGTTCAGCAGAACCAAAGGCGGGGAGGGGGTCCTGGATCTAATCAGTCTCTTCTCTTATTGGATTGGTTGCCTGCCAGGTGCTGACCAACTGTTTCCCATCATGCATCTGAATGTCACAAGGAGCTACATGCACAGTCTCCTGAGGAAAAAGTCCTAAGAAAATGCCTGCATGCTTCTCTCGGTTTCCTCACAGGTCTCATTGGTAGCCACATGTTTATTTATGTTTTTGCTATTAGCCTTCGACCTCCTCTCAGGTCTCGGAAAAATGTTTCTCGGCAGATATTAAAAGAAACCAAAACATAAAAAGTTGTAATCTCTCATGCTTATGCATTCAGCTACAAGTGATGCTTCAACCTAATGTGAAGCTCTTTCATTGATCTAATTTGCGCTGGCAAAATACTGTTTCTTTTGCAGAACATTAAATACTGCAGAGATCATTTTATTTATTAAGTGATAGTAAAAATCTTAATGACACTACAAATGCAAAGCAAATACTGAGCATGTCTCCAACTTTCTTTTTAAATCTGCTCCTGACAAGAAGAGTATAGCATTAGTTCAGGTAGAGCAGTGTATTAGCCAGTTGGCATGAACTGCTTCTTTCATGCTTCCCTTTGAGTGGCTCAATCCTCAGCTGCTCATCTGCCAACTGACTTGTAACATCTAATCATATTCATAGACGCACACAAAGAACTTCATAGCCAGAGTTATATTACTCTGCTGATACCTCTCCAATGCTCCAGCCGCTGCTCTTGGGCCAATGCTGTGGGCCTTGCAGAGCTTTATTCTTTGCACAGCAGGATTCTTGTTGCTACAGTTAGAGCCCCCTTAAAGCATTTTATTGCTGTTATGCAATCATTTCTTTATAAATCATGAATTTTTTTGCACAACTTTGTCAGACTATAATAAAATTAAAAGTTAAAGTGGATCCATTATAGTCATTTCCAGCTCCATATTTTTATCATGAGACTGTACTAGATAACATTTTCATAACTCGGTTCACAATAATTATTATGTATCTTATACTGGACCTTACTGCAGCCCCTCATTTCAACCTCTGTTTGAAACAAGCTGTTTTAGCACCCTTCTCACATCCTTTAACCCAGCTTTTTTCTTATTGGCTGCTCTTCACAAACAGAAGGATTGAATGGCAGGTGGGTGGAGCTTCTGTGCTCACATCCAGAGCAGGTTGTTTTCAGAATCCAAAGTAAGGATGAGTATAACTCTACTTTAGGTTTGAGCTCCGGATGAACCACAAACTCTATATTTCCTTCATCCAAACCAAATATTCCAGTAACCTAAAGCTGCATACACACATACTCACCCTCGGTCTGTGTGCAGTGTGTGCGCTCTTACTTTGTCTGCAAAGGAAAAAAAGGTTGGAAGTATAATCCTCAAGGACATATGTTTCCTCCAAATCTTATCTGGCAAAACAAATTAGTTTAGTACAAAACAGGTTTTTGCAGGAGATATATTCAGACATCTTTTGCCCACTCTTTTAGCAGCTAAGCCAGCTGAGAAGTGAGACATGTCAAAAAGACACAAAACGAACAGTTCTGTGTAAAAATGAAAACAGAGATCATCAGAGGCTTCTAACCTGCTTACAAAAGAGCTCGTCTGTCCCGTTGATGTAATTAAACTACCCGACATCACCCATCCCACCTGTGTTTAGCAGAGCATCTTTGCATTCCTGCAGCATCCCTTTGCTTGAATAATAAATAGCCGTGCACTTTCAGCAGTGATTGTGTTTGATCTAAGGCATCATGTGACGTTACTGGAGGCAGCTTTACTCCAGCACCCAACCAGCCTGCCAGATTGAACAATCTGTTTATCACTTAGCAGGGTACAGAGGGAAAAAACAAAACTCTGTTCATCACAGTTTGCACCCACGCAGCTTCAGTAATATTATGCAGAATCTGTCAGCTCCACCTGCCCTTTGCCTGACACACGTACAGTGCGCATAAACACAGGTACAGTATGTAAACACAGAACGACTCAAGCACACCGAATACACACACTTATCCCTTACATTAGCTCACCAGCTTTCATATAACAGTTCCTTAGCTTTAAAGGGAAAGTAGCACTAACACATTATGATGGTTTTGCAGTGTCAGTCACCCTGCAGGCATGGCAACTCTCACTTGTTCATCAGCACGCCTGTTTGCACCGATTAACAGTCTAAATGGGGGATCGGAGTTCATTACAGAGATCTTGACAAAGGTTTGACAAATCTTTTTGCCACCGCTGTAAACACTGTGATTACCTTTGGGTTTCATGTATAATAAAAATGCTAATAACAAGCTCTGTTTCTTTAATAGCATTCGTACTCGCCTTCGATTTGAAATACCAGCTGAGGATGAACTGATAAGAATCACAAGTAAATTTAATTTAACTCGATAAGTCGATTAGATCACCTGCTAAATTAGCCACCGCTGCTTTCCTCACATTCTCGCAGAGTAATTATGGCGGTCGGGGAGCGAGGTCTTTGGCACTCGCCGCCCCTTTAATAAAACTTGATTACAGCGTTGAAAAGTTGGGATCCCTCCTCCTGCTGATTGTGTCTTTCTTCTTTTGATACCACGGGAGCTTTGGTTTGTGCTCGGCCCAAACTGCCAGTTATTTTCATCACAGATGCTGTCGCTGTGTGTGGAGAAGCGGATTAGTTTTCTCCCTGCTTTGTGTAAAAATTACAATCTCTAAAAAGACTCGGTAGGCTCTGATGCACATTCCAACACGGCTGTTAACAGGTCATGTCCATCCTGTTTGTGCATGTGGAAGCTTGTGTGTGTGTTTGTAATCGCAGTATCTGCCTTTTACATTTTCATTATGTGTGTGCATGTGTCTGTGCAAATTAAGGTATTCTTCCATTCATGTTTTGCCCGAGTGAGTGTGCATGTGCCCGGATGTGCTATAAGTTACAATAAATGGGTCCCAAGGGAAAACAGCAGCAGCAGCAGTGTGTTTGATCATTTCTGCACATGAGCAGTGCTCATCTGAAAGAAGAAGAAAACACAGCGGTAGAAAACAAATCTTCAGCCTGATGCTCCGTGTCAAAACAGCCGTGTGGGTGTTAAGCCGGAAGTGTCGCAACAATTTAATCCTCTCATGAAAAACAAGACGTCTTCTACTTAGTGATCGTTAACAACCTCAGCTTTTTATTAACACTTATGAATGTTTTTCTGCAAAACCCTCAAAATACACTCATCACCTGTAAAAACAGGTCATTTCAATTATATGCAATACTAAAAACAACTTTTTTAGGTTTATTTTTATGCTACAAACTAGGATTGTAAAGTTTAGCGTTTCATTAAAAGTATCACACAAGAAACAACACTTGATGTGTCTGCACATGTCTCCGGCGTACATAAAGCCAAGACTGTCACCACGAGAAGATGCTGCAACAAAAAGAAAGTGAGTTTTCAAACGAGCCTGTCCTGTTAGATTTCTGCCAAACACAAATGTACAAGTCGAAGCGCCCTTTTCCCCCTGACAGCAGTAAATTAGTGTTTGGTGATGAGTCATTCGTGTCTAAAGAGTGACAGTAACGTCCCTCTTGTTCTGTGCCGTTTACCTGATAACCCACTGAGCAGAGAGGCCCATTAATCATTTTCTATGTGTCCCCACCCGCACCCCCCCTTTTCCCAGGCAATAAAAGCAGCGCGGACATGTAGTTAAACAGAAATCGCTCCATGGATTTACCATCAAAATATCAGACAGATTTATTAGTAACCGTTTTTTATCTGCTTCCTCTATCCCTCTCTGCGGCTTCTCCTCATTTACACATTTGACATTTAGGCTCCTTTTCCAGACCATCTCAAACTGGGGTGGCAGGAATTCAAACTTGTGCTTGCATTCAGTAATAAGGAGCAAAAGGGTCAAAGCAAACAGCATCTACAAGATAAATGCTGCAAATATTTCTGTGCTGCAGGAGTAGATGTAATGATCCCCTCTCCCCTTCTTCCCCCCCATAGAACCCCACTTTATCTCGGCCTACGACGTCGGCCTCTTCACCTTCTTCTTCCTGAGGGAGAATGCAGTGGAGCACGACTGCGGCAAGACGGTGTATTCCCGCGTGGCGAGGGTCTGCAAGAACGACATCGGCGGGCGATTTCTCTTGGAGGACACTTGGACCACGTTCATGAAGGCGAGGCTCAACTGCTCTCGCTCCGGGGAGATCCCCTTCTACTACAACGAGCTGCAGAGCACCTTCTACCTTCCCGAGCAAGACCTTATCTACGGCATCTTCACAACCAATGTGTGAGTGAGCTCGAGCGCGCACACTGCCCGCCCTGTTTGACACACACGATTTGTTTGGCTTTTTTGATGCAGTCGTAGGCATTTCTAGACGCCGAGAGAAAACCCGTGGCACGCGGCCATTTCATCACGGCTCTGTGTTTGAGGTAAAGCAGTGATGCTTGCAGACGTTTAGGGCGCTGAGTGCTGCACCTGCTGAATGCGGCGCCGCTCTCTAATAAAGTTCAACCACCTGCCTTTTGTTTACACACTTTGCACTCCACTTTTATTCCAATTTATTCGCGACCGAACTGTGAAGTGCTTTTTTCGTTGCAGCATAATTGAGGAAAATAGGCTGAAATAAGTCGAGGACGAAATTTTCAAACTTATTTTGATGTACAGACATTTCGATTGGGTGTCTTTGCTTTGTTTTCAGTATATGATGTCTACAGTCTGTGAACACATGTGGAAAAAATGTCATCCTGGGGGGGAAAACAGGTTTTACTTTAGACGAGGTTTCCATGTTTTTAGATCTAGTATTTAACCACATTACATAACAGTTTATCTTTAAAAGCAGGCAAAAGAGATTAGTCGTTTCAAAGAGCTCATGTGCAATCTCGATTTTCCTCCCCAAGCAATATATTATTAGCTTTATTATCAGTGTTCACATTTTTTTAAACACCCCAAGTTAACAGCCCACCAAAGAGTCTGTTCTTTCAAAAAAATGCACATTAATGGCAGAGAAAATACTTTTCTGGCATTTACTATCTAAATCAATTCAGCCTGTGCAAATGTGGGTATGAGCCTGCTGCTCAGCCGGTGTTTGCAGGTGGATTACTAAAGGAGCGTAAAATCTAAAAAAGACACAAAATAACCCAAAAGACACACAGAATGACCACAGATTCATTGAAAGGGATCGTATGTCTGCGTCCCAGGGCTCATTTCATCAGCATTTGTCTCTTATGTATCTAGTGTGACAGCATCAATATTCCTCTTTGTATCATAAAGCATAAAATTACTGTAATGCAACACTTACCCATGCATTCCTCCTCAATGTTGCCCTCGCTGTTGAATAGAAAGGATGAACAACCCCACCAAAACAAGCTGCAGCTGTGCTGAAGAGCCCTTTCAACAGCAACAAGAATATTAATAAGGGAACACTGGCGCACACACCGTAGCACTTGAACTTCTCCTCATTTAGGCCTCAGATTTCGTCACTTCATAAGGTTTGTTACTGCAACATTTTCCTGCCTGTATAGAGAGACAATTTTCCAAAGTTTGAGCCACCCCGCTGCTGCTAATGATCAGTGCGGATGCACACAGCTCTCTGCCGAGCTGGATACACAGATTGACTCATACTCTCTCTGGTGCGTTTGATTGCTCCAGGTGGGGGTGTAACACACTTCATTACAGAGAGGAAACACCGAGAACAAAAGTGTGTACATTGGAGATTATTTTGCGGCTTTTATGTTTAGTAAAAGTGTAATTGTGTCACACTCTGCTCTAATTAGAGGGTAGCAGCAAGCGCACAGCAGCTTGGTCACTCTGTTTAACACAGTAGTCCAAGAAAAGATGTCAAGGAGACATGTACATCAATATAAATTATAGCTTGGGCCTTTTTTATGTCTGCAATCCTTTAATGTGTGTTGCAGATGTGGCTCAAGTGGTAGAGTGGGGCATCTACCAATCGAAAGGTCAGTGGCTCCGTCTCAGGCTCCTCCAGTCCAGCTGTCGAAATATCCCTGGGCACGATACTGAACCCCAAATTGCCCCCAATGCATCCATCGGAATATGAGTGTCTGTATGGATGTTAGATTAAAAGTGCTCTGTGTGTTTGTGTGTGAGATTCAGAGACTTAAAGTAAGTGCTTTAAGTGCTCAAATTGAGTTGAAGGGTGCCAAATAAGTACCATTCCATTTATCTGTGACTGCATTTATTTTGAAGTATATTTAAACAGCATGTATCTCTCTCTGCACCTAGGTTCTGCAAATTATCTCAGCACATTCATACCCTTCAATGAATTTTGACTTTTCCTTTTAAGACTTCCCTCGGGACAAACTTTGAACCTTGCATGAGATTGAGTAACTAAACACACTGAAGAATAAAGGATGAATCAAAACTAAAAACCAAGACAACACTTTCTTTCTCACTTGTGAGAAAACACTACATATACATCTACCGTTGAGTCATGAAATGCTCTTTTCCACAGTGACAAGGAAGTATGTAGCAGATGCCAAGGATGCTGCGTACATAACCTTTCTTTTTAAATTTGGAAAGTCGAATCTGAAGCCACCCAGTCCACCACTTGAGTCAAAGTCATGTGAAACTATTAAGACTTGGCGATAAACCTTGCAAGCGTGGCAAAACAATCTCTTGAACTGTACATGCACTTTGTGCCTGCGTGCGTGTAAGGTGTGCCTTTGTGTGTGTGAGGAGCCATGGCTGATGCTATTCAGATGTATTCTGAGTAGTGTCAGGGGAGAAGTTGAATCCTGCCTCTCACCTTCTGCTCTCTCACCTGTTAAGCCGCCGGCAGTTGACACTGCATTGCTGCTTCCCATCAGCCTGCAGCCATTTTTGGTGATAGATGGGAAGAGCGTGAGAGAGCAGGAAATGGCCGAGAGACAAAAGAAATGAAAAGCCAGGGGGATAAAGAAAGAGAGGAGGAGATAGAGAAATGAGAAGAGGTAATGAGAAAAATCATTAAGCTCCAAGCTTTTGTCTTTCTCCCATTGTCTCCTCCTTCAATTCTGAAGCGACTTGCCGGTCCACCCTCCAAAACTGCTTCGCTCTTTGGGGCTGGATATGTTAATGCAATCACCACCAACACTGCCTCCATCTGTCTGGCCTAAATTGAGCAGACTCACAGCTGCTCCCAGGAGTTTGGGGCTGTAAAACAAAACAGGAAGAGCTGGAACGGAGCACTTATACCCTCTGTCTGCCTGGGCCGGCTCTCGGTACTATAAATCCACCTCCTCCCTCTCTTTGTGACCGTCTTGGTTTATCCCTTGGTCACTTTAGGTTGATGTTTGGCAGACAAAACCTACAATTTCGGTCGTCGGTGAAGTTGTTCATCAAGAAATAACAGTCACAAAGTTTTGTTCTCGCAAAATTCAAAGGCGCTGCTTTGTGAAATGAGCATTTTGAAGACTTCTCTCAATTTTTCTAGATCAAACGATTAAAAAAGGGAGGCGCTGATTTTTGTATTACACTGCAAAGAATGCTGCTGTGTATAAACGGATTTAAAACATAATGGTTTTCATCCCTGTTACTCAATCTCTACACAGCCCACTAAGCAAAAGCAGCTCCCTAACAGAGCATCAGCAACCTCTTTGATCCTCCCCCCTTTTGTCTGTGCAGTGCTGAGTGTGGGTATCCTACGTTTTGGGCAGTAAAGTACATTTCCCCTCATGATTTTATGGATACAGAGTAGAGCAGGGCGATATGGCCAAAAATATTTATCACGATATATATTTGAAAATTTGCGATAACGATATAACCGACGATATAATTGATGCGAGACAAAATACAACTCCACAACATTACTAGTGCAAAAAGACAACCTTCCATTTATTTTCACTTAAACAAGAAGCTGGTTTTTATGTACATTAAAGCTTTATAAAAATGTAACAGTGCAAATGCAAATTCCTTGCTGAAAGTTTAACCAAAAGGCATTTCCAGTAGAAATGGGCTGACATATCCTGAGCATAACCATGTATAATATCCACTGAAGTTAAAAAGAGGTGCTTTGCAACATTAAACTGCAGTGTACAGTACGCATTTTTCGGACCATAAGGTGCACGGGATTATAAGGCACATTAAGCGAAACAAAGCAGTCAGATAAATCAAACTTTATTAAACTCATTCTTCTTGCTTCCTCCACTTCTGTAACATTGATTCATTAATGTTGAATTCTCTGCAGCTGCTCTATTCCCATGTTGTTGCAGTATATTAATAACTAACCTCGTATTGTGGATGGATTATCTCAGTTGTTCTCCTGACTGAAGTTTGGTCCGTTTACAGCATCCTGCCATGCGATTGCATTTGTCTCTAACCATGAAGAACCTTCACATTAACTTTTATAAGTGGAAAAGTGTTAGTGTTCGTCCTCCAGCTTCACTGTTTATGTTATGCTAACATAGCTGTGTCGCTAGCGATCACGTAGCACATCATTATATACCAGCTAGCCCAACTTCAGTAACCCTACAAACGTCACTGCTGTTTAGTTTCCTGTCTTCATTTATGCTGGAAGTGACAGCAGAGCTGTACGTTTGATTTTTTTCAGAAATCTCTCAGTCAGAACATGCAATATCATGCTTAGGTAACTAGCGAAACTAGCGAGCTAACTTCCGCTAGCTTCCTGCTAACTTCTAACTCCGTTAAATGTAATAACTTTTGTTTTCATGGATGCCTGGAAGTTAAACTTTATAGTTACACCTGGTAAAGCAGCAATGCTGATCGTTTTATTAAAGATGAAAGAATTTAGACAGTTTTTAACTCTAAGTGATGCTGCAGTGTTGTTTGACCTGAAGATTACGGAGCTTATGACCCAGATTACTCCCAGATTTAAGAGCATCTTAGTCCGACAAATACGACAATAACGATGGCCGCTTGCATGTTCTGCAAAAAAAATGTGCTTTGTTGTGTATCTGACGGACAAACACCAAACCAGTTCCACATCACTGAAGTTGCACCATTTTTACAAACCAATTCTGGTTCATCTGTTTCACTCAACGACCGGCCATGTGCGTATGAAAACAAAGGCACTGCACATGCGCGTTTTACTCCCATTCTATCGCGATATTTCATTTTCCTATCGTTGCCTAACATTATACCGGTATTATCGTGAACGGTATAATATGGCCCAGCCCTAATACAGAGTGAGAAAAATAGGATTTGTTAAGTAGCTTACATGGACAGTTGTATGCTTTAAACAGAAATGTGTGTTTTTTGCTGCGGTGCATGTTCATACCACAGGGAGAGCGTTCTGGTAGAGCATTCAGTCTGCACAGAGCCTTTTAGTT